TAATTTAATAGCCTTTCATATTTATTTGTATGTTTTTATAATTTTTATAATATTTTAAGTTTTATTTATAATGGAATATGTTGCGCTATGTGTAGTGTGCTATGGCTCGACAAAACCTTTGTCTTATCGTGTGCCATTTGCCATTGACAAATATAGTTGTAGTTGGAGCTTCTAATCGAGCTGACTTGAGTCAAGTATATTGTAGGTTGAACCTGACTTGGTAATATTATAAGTTGTTCGTGTTCGCCTTGAGCTTATGTCAAGCTTTCACATGATGTTCAAGATTAACTTGTTTAAAATTTTCAATACTTTATTTGTTTATGTTAATTGATAGAGTATTTAAAAGAGTTAATAAACAACTAAAAATTCAAAGAAGTATTTGGGATTTTATATAACATTTTTAACAAAATGATTTTACATATCTAAATAACTAATTAATTGAAATTTTAAATTAGCATCTAATTATTTAATACAGACTATGTAAGACAATATATAAGTTGCAAGTAAGTTTTTTTTTGTAATTAAATAAAGAAATAAGAACTAGCGATCGTACGATGAGGTTCTCAGGCACGAGATAAGAGATTGTTGGTGAAACGTGAGAGGGAAAGTAAGGTTTGCAAGCAGGAGAATAGGGTTTACGATTTAATATATTTTTATTTGTTGACTTTTATTAATTTCATTTATTAATAATTAATGATTAATAAATTTATTATAAGCAAATTATAATATAAAAATCATGTGTAATTATCATATAATTAATTAATTAATTAAAATTTATATAATTGTTAATTAATTTATTAAATACATAATTAATAGGAATTAATGAATATGTATATACTTTATAAAGCCCAAAAAGACTAATATATTAACTAGAAAAAAAGATACATATACAATGTGTTGAAGGACCCAAACATGACACCCTGTCCATGTCCACACCAAAACCCCAAACATGACACCCTGTCCACACCAAAACCACAAGTGGTTCCAAAACTAAAAAATAGAGAAAAGTACAGTAAAGACATAAAGAAAAAGCCTAAAAAGGCTGAAATACAAAGTAGCAGATGGCTAGAGAGCAACCCAATTTGGTTTTGCCTCTGCCTCTGGTTCTAGGAAAGGAGCAAACTAATAAGTTGGTAAGATGATTGCCATTGCCAGTAGTAACCAATGTATCATCCAATATGTTCCCTAGCTGGAGTCGGCCTCCTTCCTTCTGGAATAGACCTGTCATTCCTCTTCCGAAGGTTGGCTCACTTGATCTTGATTTAAAGTTTGCTGGAGAGGTGCAAATTGTTGAACATTAGAAACAACATGTTGTACCGACTGATCTGCTATTGGATCAAATGAGCACTTTCGTTTGTCTTGACATGTAAGTAAGTCTTTTTTAATAAAAGTGGGTGGTATAAACACAACTGGATCTGTAGCTGTAGTACGTTGTTCTTCTTCAGGAACTACGGTGTTGGGAAGAGGATCGGGTTGCAATTTCTCAACGTGGATAATAGGTGGCTGTTGTTTAGTGATATTCGACCTTAGATGATGATGCAAATGATAACAAATAGTAGAGCTGTGACCAAACATACTACAATGAGAGCAATAAGTAGGGTGTGGTTCGATTTCAATCTTTTTCCAATACCCGTTGTGAGTGATTCCAATCCACACCTCATCCGGAGCGGGTTGAGTGATATCCCTCTCAACTAACACACAAGCCACAGAGAGCCTGGTGACAGCAAGCTTAGGACTATCAACCCTGAGAGGCTTACGGTAAACAGTTGCTAAGGAGTAGAAAATTTTCTAATTGAACAGATGTAATTTTAACCCCAAAAATTTTATCCAAACTGGAATGATAGGGGACCGCATTTGGGTCGAAACCAACAATCCACTTCAGAATTTTCATATAACTGTTGTCGATCTTGATAAATTTCCGAGAAAAGTTTCGGGTATAATCAACATTATGAGATAACTGAATCAGTATGTGTTGACCGTCAAGTAAATCAATATTCCAACTGCTCAATAGCTTCATAGCCTCAAACTCTTTTCGAATAATTTTCAATTTTGGGTTATCGTAAAGAAATTTCCCCACTAGAGCAAAACACCAAGAGGACGCGGAGTACTGGTTTCAACCTCTGTGAGAATAAGAGCAGACTTCTCATTTTTTCTCCAATTTTTTATGAAGGTGTGATCGCCACCACCTTCAAGAGCATCGTGAAAAGATTGAGAAACATTGCAAGATTTACTTATACGAAAACCAGTCTCTGATTCTGAAAGAGGAGCACAAGTAGGAATCGAGAGGTCGCCGACAAGTGTAGTAGCATAGGAACGGATATCCATCTCTGTCGACAAGATTCTGCCGGACAGAAAGCGAGGAGACGTCATCTGAAAGGTAATGCAAAAATGCGGGCAGAGCACCGAGAAACGCGACCAAGCGAGCAGAGCAACAGCTCTGTCGCCAGACCGAGACGACGCGAGGAGGCGTCTTGGACAGACGAGGACGCCGTCTGGGAAGAAATACATAAACTCGGCCTGCTTCATCGTCTGGAAGGGTGCAAAGTCGAGAGCCTGCCGCCAGAAACACGCGAACGTGAAAGACAACAACAAACAACGACGCGAGCACCGACGTCGACGAAGACGAAGCACGAGGGAAATAGAAACGCAAGAGAGATGATCCGAAAGCTAGGGTTCATTGTGAGGATATATATATATATATATATAAGTTATAACTATAAGTAAAAATGAGAATGAATTAAGTTAATTTATTTAAATTGAATTAATTAATAAATATATATTAATAAAATCAATATATTATTAATAATTAATTCTAAAATATTATTTTAATTATAATATTACTGTCAAATTTATAATTAAATAAGTTTTACATAATAAAATTTTATTTAAATAATATATCAGATATGATATCTTATATCATCGAGCATAATATTGAGTATTTAATAAATTTCTTGGTGAACAATAAATTAGTTTGCTCATGAATATAAAATAAATAATTTGGATTATTTTTATGTTTAATTAATTCAAGCTCGTTTATTTATAAATTAAACAAATGAGCGAAGTTTGTGTTATTCATCGAGTGGATTGGTCATTTACAATCCTAGTTGTGGGTGTGCTTATGATTGCAAATGGATTGAGCTTTTGACAAGGTACTCCTAACTCAACTGGATAAGAGCTTGCTAATGTTGTTTGATTACCTAATTGAGAAAGTTTGAACATTTTTATAAATTCTCTGTTGTTAAATGAATAAGCTTAAACGCCTCCTTGTTCGATTCGTTTATGTTCGCGAACAATATCATTTAAAGCTCGCAACAAACTATTTAAGAAGCTCTATTTAAAATTCATAAATAAGATCGATTTACTGCTTATGAATAGAATCTGTTAAAGCTTAATTTAAGGTTGTGAATAAGCTCAATTAAAATCTTAATTTAAAATTCATTCATATTAAATTAAATTAAATTATAATTTGGAGTACATAAAATGAAATAGTGACTTATATTTTTAGCTGTTCATTTATTTTACGCAGTCATATGCTTATTTTAGTTACATTTGATAGTTCATTCCTTTAAAAGCTCATTTAATTTTATAAGATAAAAGAGTAACTCATTTATTAGTTCAATAAAACTCATTTGATTAGAAAATAAGTAGCTCAAACAAACTATTCATTATTTTATTTGATAAATTTTATTTGATTAGAAAATAATAACACAATAACACTAATTTTAATTTGCTCAATAAGGTTGTTTGAATAGAAATTAAGTAGCTTAATAGTTTACTCATTAGTTTTCCGATAATGACTTCATTATCATCATATGAAACTATCAAGATCCAAACTCAAATAGGAAAAATGCTTAAACATAAACACATAGCTCGATTAGAGCTCGAGCATGACTTAAGCTCAAGCTCGAATTTTATAATCAAGTTCAAGCTTGAATACAACCGAAAAGCTCGATTTAAGCTCAGATTTTATAAACAAGCTCAAGCTTGAACACCACTTAGTTCGACTCGGCTCTGTTTGTTTACAACCCTTGTGCTCATGTTTGGCATGGACATTTAAGGCTTTTTGAAATGTTCATACGCAATCACCCATACACCTCACAAATGCCTTAAAGAGATTCACAAAAATTAACAAAAATAAATATTAAATTATAGTTGATCCAAGAAGTGAATTCACATGGTTAATTGTGTTTTGCAGATGGCATCTATCTTTAAAAGATGTTGATAATAAACCCAAATTCTGATGGTTTAAGTATCAGATTTTCTTTTGTGATTTTGGATGCTTTTTCCTAGTCGTTTTGCGTGTTTTTTATTCCACTTATTAATCATCGGTGTATCCGTGTGACTAGTTACTCTAGAGACATGCTTTTGGTATTTTTTTTTCCTTTTTGAAGATGCCAGCGTAAGAAACAAAAAGTTGTGTTCTGATACTTTTTTACCTTGAAATATGACTTGTACACTTATTTTTAGCTGAGCCTTGAGTACGGATTAATCACATAGTTGCAAATGTCCATTCTGGTTTGCATTTTTGTGCCTGATTGATGCATTTCTTCTTCTTGCTGACATTATAAAGTTGATTTGCCTCGGAAGTGCTATAGGCAAACTCAGAACAGAGTTTCATTTTATAGAATTCATGTTTCAAAAAGTTAAACCAGAAAAGGTCTCTTGTTCTCCCTATATTAACTTTAATATGCTTATTGTTGATCCATCTATTGTTGATCCTAATTTTAAATAATTTATTTTTAAAATAAAATAGATCTCAGTAAAAGGTAGGATTTTCATTCAATACTTTTTATGACATGCCATTGTAATCAATTATAATTTTATGCCTCCTTTTTAATATTACGTTTTGTATATTATGTTTGTATTTTTCAAAATTGTAATGCTTTTGATGGAACATTATTCTTGTATGTACTTGTAAATTGTTGTCATGGAAGGCAAGCTATGCTTTGTTTACACGTGAAGTATATTTGCGTTCATATTTGTTTTGGCAATGTTTACAGATAGAGTTTTTGGACCTACAACTACGACTAGGCTTGTGTATGATGTTGCAGCTCAACATATTGTTAGCGGTGCTATGGAGGGCATAAATGGTAATATGTTTTAAATGGTTTATTCTTATGTTGATTCTTTTGTGAGATTGTGATAATGGATTTGGATGTTTAGTTATTTTGTACGTGTGCTTGCATCAAAAGATATGCAGTGCATTAAACCTGCCAATGCCGTGTTTGGGGGGGTTATTTCAAACCTGTTACGTCTAGGTTATAATTTAGATCATTTATTTAGCCCGTGTTCACTTTCATGTATACATGGGCTTATGCATGGATATGAAGGCTTTTCATTGTCAGTTTCTTGTATTCTTTTCATGCATTTAATCTTATATAGATTTTCATTTGGAAAAGATGGCTGGAGATATAATTTTCCTAGAAGCACAGGTAATATGATAAATTAATAGAATAAATTCTAGGTGCTCTGCTGAAAGTCTGTAGTAGGATAAACTATAAAATACAGTAGGTCTATAGATGGCATTTGAAATCACAGCAATACGTTGAGAATTATTTCAAAATGAAAATTTTGTAGCTTGAAATTGACCAATACCCACAATTTATTAAAATGAGGGGCAGTGAAGTTGTCGCTTCACTTCTAACTGCATTGAAGAATATGGCCATGCAACTGTCCAAAGAGGTGAGGTGCTATACCAGAAACACCATGTTTGGAGAACTGTTGTCATCTTGTTTGGATTTTCCTAGGTAAGTACTTCAACGGGCTCAGTTAGCTCATTCCATTATACTGGCATGAAGCTAGGTTGAAGGCAATATGAGGAATAATGACTTTTCTGAAGTTTTTTAATGTTGCTGCTTGACATGTTATTCTCTTTCCTCTAATAATATTAATAAGGGTATTTGTACGCCATTGGAGCATATGATGCTTATATTACATTTTTTTTTACGCATGTTGACATTTGAAGTACATGTTCCTCAAAAACTTGGTGATTACTATAATTTTATTTTATCAGTGGTTTTATTTTTATAGAGTTCCTAAGCATGCATATGTTCATTCTGTAGGAACCATTTTTGCTTATGGAGTTACAAGCAGTGGAAAGACCCATACAATGCATGTGAGTATTGCAACTATATCAATATGATTCTCTTTGATGAATGCACTTGTAAAAGTCCAAATCTGTCTCATCATTGCACAGAAACTTAAAACATGTTGCCACTGACTTTATCCATTAAGGACAAGAGGGTAATGCAACATTTATGTCATGCTATTGACAAACAAATTTTCTCCCCTTGAACTGTTAATTCAGTTATGTGCAAATGATGGATAGACTTAAGGTGTTAAGCATTGTTTATTAATGATTAGTACTATTTTGAGTGAATCCTATAAGTAAAACCACTGACATTGTAATCTAGAAGGCACAATTGTGACACTGCCTATATATTTAATGCTATCCAGACATTCATGTAATTTTTTTTGCTATTATGTTTAGCAATGATTGCTTAATGTCTTTCCTCAAAAGCAAGGTAATTGTTGACCTCATTTTTAGTGAGGTCTTAGTCTCCTAATCTTAGAACCTAGGACCTAGCTTTAGGAGTTCTTATTGACCATCCTAGCGGACTAGCAATGGAGCCCACCTCCCGTAGAACTTCAAGCCACTTTTTGACTCATTTTTGTGAAGAACTCGCATGAGTGGTTCCGAGCACTCAACTTCTAGTTGTAAGGGCTAAGGACCAACATGTAGAGGGCCCGAAATTGAGTTCCTATAGGATCAAACAGCCTTAGGTGAACCCTTTGTGACTCGATTACTCGCTAACGACACACTTCACACACTCACTGCATCACACACGACTTTAACTTGAATTGACTCGCCCGTCGGCGAACTCGTCCGGACGACCCCGGATGACGAAACTGACTGCACCGACGCGTCCGGAACGTCAACTTTAGCTAGGAAGGACACCCATATTGCCAGGGTTACACGCGTGCACAAATGACACGAATATCGATGCACATTTTTTTTTTTAATTTAACGGGACGCGATTCAGTGCAATTTGGGCTGGACTCGAGCCTAACACAGGCTAAATGATTTCAGATTTCAAATTTTAAATTTCAAATTTATCAATTAATCCCCCATTAAACTTTTCCATTTAAGCAGTGTGCCTAAAAGGAAATAATTCAATTCCCCGCCAATGCTTTTCAAGTAACGGCTCTCGACCCCGCTCCTTTCATGAATTCGACCCCGCGCTCGCCTTCTTCCCCCTCTCGACACTATTTGAGACCCTCACAACCGAAAGCTTCTGTTTTTCGTTCCTCCCCCTGCACCGAGAACATTCCTCGCTCGATATACGATTCGACTTCCTCTTCCGCCTGACGCTCAATCTCGACTCCCTACTCCCGCTCGGCTCGGAGGTTTCCTCGCGTTGGGTTCCCGTGGCATCGAACGAAACCGCCTCCTCTCTTCCTCGAATCGCTCCTTCCCCGCTCGACACCCCGCTCGACCCCGTCTCCTGCACCGAAACCGCATTCGCCGGCTCGCCTCCTCCCTGCGACGAAGGAACCCAATCTCCTGCGCACTCGCCCGCACATCCCGCCTCTGCGCTCACATCCCGTCTCTGCGATCCCCCTCCGCACTTCGCTCCTTCCTCCTCCCGCTCGATCCCGATCCTTCCTGCACCGAAACCGCAAATCCCATCCTCCGCTCTGCTCCGATTCCGTCTCCCGCACCGACGCCGCAACCTCCTTCTTCCTCCTCACCTGCTTCGACTCCCTCCTCTGTACCGAAGCTCTCGCCATCCCTTCTGCACCGAAGCTTCCAATTCCCTCACCTCTCGATCGAACCTGAGATCCGAGATTCAGTCGCACTTCCTTTTTTCCTCCTTCCTTCGGTGAGGTCCAACCGGAGCCCCTTCCTTTCCCAACTGACAATTCTGCAGGAAAACGATTTGGACAATCAGCACAGGAAGTCAGTTGTGCAAGCTCCACCTATCCAACCCAATCCTCTGACCGTTCACATCTCTGTGAGTTCTTGCAAGATCCCAAACACAAACTTATATTTTATTTGGATTTTATTTATGTCCAATTTAGGTCCATATCTTGTTATTTCTGTTATTGTGTTTTTATTTCTGATA